TAGACAACTCAACTATTATCTGGGCTTGGAGGTATGTTGAAAACATTTCTATTAAGTCTCTTGTGCTTTTGCTGATCAATAACCCCCAAGTAGAAAAGACACATGACAGCAAGGTACTGAAACAAAGATGCCTGCACTTTAAAAGCAATGAAAAGAAAATCTTTAAAAGCACTCTTCAGGAGCAAACGAACACTTGAGAGTGACATTTGGCCAAACAGCAATTTGAAGAAAGAAATGCATACTTTACCTCACCTCTCCCCAAGGCACCTTAAAAAGCAAAGTCTAACTTCATTTCCATATTCCAATTGCTGAAAGCAATTTTTAAACTTCAGAAAGTAAGTTAGAACCAAGGTGATTCTGGGCGTGTCTTGGGATGGCCACACCAGCTAAGGGCCTTGCTCTGGCTGGCACAGCTGCGAACTGAGGTAGACCCAGCACCCAAGGCTGGTGTCTTCGCTGGTACAGGAAAGGTCCATGGTAAGAAGCTATTCAGGGCTGGGCATTTCAACAGGACATTTGTTGTCTTGGGTGGAGATCATACTGAACCTTGTAGTGACAGTGTTTATAGACACATTGTTGGGGAAGTTCACTACATGGCTGCTGGACTTCCTATAACAGTGCCACCAGTGCCTCCAGGGTAACTGTACCATCTTAAAGCAGTCGTTAAGGGGAAGCCTTGACCAGTGCAGAAAGCCCTGGACTGGGAATCAGGAGACCTGGGCTGGGCTGACCTCTGGCCCAACACAGCTACATATGTAATATGAGCTGGTTTCCTCTTCTTTAAAAGGCATACGATACCCCTGAATTCAGGGGCTTGTGAAAACGAAACAAGACCATGGGCGCAAAGGAGCTTTGTAAATGATAAAGTCTAGAGCAGGCACAGTGAAGAAGGGTGACTGCATTATTTTATCATCATAGTACTGTTACTATTACTGTGCTACAATCACGATCTTTTCCATAGAACAGTGGTCTCAGACTTGGGCTTGAACCACTGCCAGGCACGTGGAGACCTCTGAAGATCTAAGGCCTGCTCAAGCTGAATCATTTTCTGTTTGGGTGCTAGTTCTTACCCTACCAGAAGGTGTAGATATGACTAATTAAAGCTACTGAGACAAGAATATAGTGTCCCAGAAAGAAAAGAACAGAGAACCTAAAGGCCAAGGTCTAAACCCTTGGCTCATACACATTTTCTTAATATCTGTATGAGGCCAGGCTGCTGGACACAGGCTTGTAATTCGATTGCTTCTAACTCCTAGTCCAGTACGATGGGACCTTTCTGCTTTTTTTCAGGGTGTCCCAGGAGACCTTAATCGGCATTTATAGAGAGACTATCTCCAAAGATGTACGTAACGTGATCAAGGTCTTGCCGCTGAGAGCACTTCTCTGCCAGGACTAGAGCCTCATGATGAAGCACACGGGTTGCCTAATGTACTTAATTAACCAACAGGTACTTGTGTGGAAGTAAGTAGCAGTACAGGTTTCCAAAAGACAACCAGATAATAAAGAATCCAGCCTCCAAGGAACTTCTTCCTTCCTGGTTGTGCGATGTATAGGTAGGAGCTAAAGCAAAAACACTGAAGAAAGAATCAAATGGTAAGGGGTGGTGGGAGAGCTGGGATCCAATTAACATGTCAATAGATACAGGAAGTGAGGCTCCTTTCTTCTCCCGATCCAGCTGTCCCTAAAGGAATTAGGAGGTGTCTTTGGGAGCTATTGGGAGGTAGTTTGGGGAAATTGAGAAGGTTACCTTGGCTCAGAAATGTTCTGTAAGTTTCCAAGAAGGCAAACCCCAGCCTTGTCCCCTGCTGGAGATGGAGGGTTTTAGCACCTCAAATAAAGAGTGAGGCCCAGGAGTTCCCCAAGGACATTGCTTGCCCTGCCCTATGCTGCAATGCAGGGCCATCGCTCTTCAAACTATGTAAGACCTTCCAGCTGACTCAGGGAGTTCAGTGAGTCTAGAGGGACCTGGAAGAAGGCAGAGGAAACTTTATAGGCCATGGAAGGTAAGAGCTACAGGGAGAGAAAAGCAAAATAAAAATAAAAACAAGAAATAAACAAAAACTCTTTCCATCTCTGATGCAGATGACATTGTGTGCTATTTTTCAATGGAAGACTTCCTCAGTAGCATTTAACAGACTGTGGGGCCAGTGACTTTTCTTGGTAGCAGGGAAACACTGTCTTAATCAACCTCTTACATCATTTTCCTATTCTGTCCTATGCTCCTTATGATCTTTTAAGGGTTATTGAGGCAGTAGAGAGAAATAACCAGTGTCATACAACACCCACACCTATCCCTCTGCCATAGCCAAGAGCAGTTTCTGCTCTACTTGCCCTTTACTGGCCTCTATACCAAGCCATGAGATGCACACTTGGGTCTGGGGGTGGATGTATGGGGCGGGCTGCCTTTCCCAAATATGAATTGCTTTGGGTAAGTTAATACTCCTTTGCTAGGCTTCGGTTTCCTCATCTTTAAAATAGGCAAACATGTATAAATAAACTTTTTTAGATTGTAAAGCACCAAAGTGTTATAATTGACAGATTTGCTCAAATATCTATAATCTACCTGGGGGAAGCTTTTAAAGATGGGATAATTGCCCCCTTCCCACCTCTAAATTAAAATCTCAAGTCTTCTCCCAACTAAGATCAGGTACTCTTAAAATGAACTGAAGAAATGGGGGGAGGGCAGGTAGTATAGATGGTCCTACTGGCTTCAGCCTTTATCCCTTCTCTTCACACCCCAGAGGCAAAAGGAGATAAGACAGACAGGTAGAAAGAGTCTTGTCTGACCTTCCAGCCTTATTTTTGACCTCTTGAGGGTCAATGCTGAATGAAGCCTCTGAGATTTCCACTGGGGTCAGACTGAGCAGAGAATGCACATCCGGGCTGCCTGTGGAGTTGGGTGGGGAACGTGATGAGAAGGGAGGAGAACAGGCCCGGTGGGAAAAGATATTACCTCATTTACACCCTAGCATAAGGGTTTTATTTGTCTCCACCATTTTTCCTCCCAAAGAGAGTTGTTTTCTGAAACAGATATACCAGAAAACCAAAAGATTCCTATCCAAAACAATGTCTTTCAGAAAATGAAGATTTCAGTATATCAGAGAGCCCATTAGCCTTGCTATTTAACTCTACATAACTAAATTAGTTAAGGCTACTTTCTATCTTTGAATCTCAGTTTCCTCACCTGTAAACAGAGGATTGTAATCATTGACTTGCCCACCTTAGAGTCTATGTAGAGATCCAATGAGATGATAGGTGTGAACAAACATTATAAACTATAAAGTGCAGCGCCTATATGTGTAGTCAATTCCTGTCTTCCTATCCTAGGATAACAATGCCCTATCTCCAATCTTGGTTTTTACAAATTAAGTCACATCGAACATTCTGGACTCTATAGGCTGCTCCTAAAGGAGACAGTTGTTCCACTTAGCTGAGCATTTTATCCTTCTAAATCTGACCCATTGTGAGGGAGTGGGCATCAGACCAAGTGGCCCATTAAGGACATAAAGTAGACTTAAAAATAATCCATGATACCCACATCTGAGTCCTGAGGTTCTCTGTGCCATCAGTCATGGAGAAAGAAATTCCATTTCATTCCGAGATGCATGTAAAACTCATGGTGAGAGATTAGAAATTGATTGGTTTTTCTGTAAACCAAGAAAGCACCAAGGGTCCCTGAGCTGCCCTTAGGGTCAGGCCTCACGCGGGACCTTAGATCGTCAGTGTTTCCCCCGCAGATTTCAGGAACTTCAGTGTAACCCCAAAGACCAAAGCTCTGAGCCCCGAGTTTGTCCTTGGGGATCTAGAAACTCAACCTCAGGCCTTATAAGACCAGGCAACAGGAAGGGACAAAAGAGGCAATAGGAGAAGAGAAATAAAAATGAGAGAAACTTCAAAAGTACCATTTTAAAGACCAAAAAGACACCGAGTTGAGGCCCCAGTAAAGAAGGGTAGAGACGTATATGTGGGGAGGAAGACTCTGGCAAATGAGTTAGCACCAGAGCTGTCACAGTCACAGAAGTCTAGGAGATGAATAGGGAATCAATGTGTTCAGCCTCCCGAGATGTGTGTGTGTGTGTGTGTGTGTGTGTGTGTGTCTGTGTGTCTGTGTGTGTGTCTGTGTTAGGGAGGGGGACAGCACAGAGGATCTAAAGGGGGAAGGGTGTGATTTTCTCCCTAAAGTGCTTAGATGTATCAGTAGTGTACTGAGGGGCCATTCCTTCAGGTCCACCTGATCAAAGATGGAGGCAGTAAAACTCTACCCCATTCATTGTCATTCACTCTCCTCTCCTTTACAGTCAAGCTGAGTTAAGAACATGTCTGATAGTCTCACGGCTGGGGAATCCAGCTCTCCAGGCTAGCTGGAATAGAGAAGCAAGAAATGATGCAGACCAGTCTTGGGAAAACGGTGAATAATTGATTCTCTGGTGGGATGGGATGGGATGTGCCCCATCCATAGAGTACTGGCTGTTGTGGACATCACATCCCAGGCCCCTGCTGCTGTTGTGATATAGGAACAAGGCAGGAGAGTCCAGGGAGAAGAACTGGGCAAGGTTGCCAGGAGCCTAAGAGACCTAGGGAGGGAGCAGAGCAAGTTAGAAACCTGTGGGGCAATCTCAATAGCCCCTTCTTCTCCCCATCCCTCAAAAAAAACCTGGTTTAGGCCAATGGTTTAGGATGCAATACCAGAAATACATCACCTAGCTGGGGAGATGATAGTTCTACCCTATTCTGTGCTGGTGAGAACATTCGTCATGAAACTGGGTTCAGTTCTAAGCTGCACATACTTTAGAGGAACCAAAAGTGGTACTTTCCAGAGAGGAGATGCTATCTTCAGACTTCTTCGGGGCTATCACAAGGAAGAAGAAGAAGCAGATGTGGTCTGTGCGGCCCAAGGAACAGAGCCAGGACCCACTGGTGGGTACTACAGAAAGACAGAAAGGTTTTCTTTACAATGAGTTCAAATCCACCAGTCATAGTTGCAATATATATTGGGCAGTAGTGAGCTCACAGACACTGCAAGTATGTGAGCAAGGATGACACAAAAACTTGTGAGAATATTAGAAAACAGACTCAAGTATGGAGTGAAGGACTTGGAGGGTAGGTTGGACTAGATGACCTTGAAGGTATCTAGGATGACTGATAGTAGCCTTGGCTTTCATCTGCATATTGCTCATATTTTCTCAGGTAGGATGTTGGGCAGAGTGTGTCATGGGGGACCTGGACAATACCTTAGCTGGAGAAATAGGCAAATGGCGGTGAAAGGCAGTTGGTTAGTTGAAAAGTAGAAATCTACCCAGCCTCCTGCCTCATACTGCCTCCCATGAGTTATGCCTTTGAGAAAGCAACACTGGCTATGGAACGGTCATATTGATAGAATTAACAAGCTCTGAATTGGAGCCTCCAAATCTGGGCTCCAGCTCAGTTCTGCCACTGATTTGCTCTGTGACTGTGACTTTGAGCAAATTACTTTCTCTCTGTCTCAGTTCCCACCTCTCTGAAATGAGACTAACAAACCTGGACCTGCTTACCAGGGAAGGGATGTTATGAATATCATCAAATGAGTGTAGTGGATAAGAAGGGATGAGTAAATTGTGACTGAGGGTGGTGGAAGGAAAGAAAAGCTAACATGGGTTAAATATCTCTAATGCATCAGATATTGGAAAAGGCACTTGCACATGCATTTCTCATTCAACCCTCACAAGAACTTAGGCGGTGAGCAGTGCTTTTTACATCTTGCAGATTAATGGCTTGAGGTTTAGAGGGGTAAAGAAATTTACACAAGGTTCACATCACTGTTAATGAATGGAGTTACATTTGAAATACATGGCTCCCAGATGCCAAGGCCTACATATTTTTCTACTGTGCCCTGGTGCTTGTACACATAAGGGGAGATAACTGAATAACTAGTAGATAGTGGGGTGCTGAGAGAGCTTGTAAAAGGCCAAGATAGAGAGATTGGTGTCTCGTCAACCCAGCTAGCTCCTTGACAGTTGTAGGGCCAGCAATGTGATATATAACTGGCTCGAAAGATTAGCATCTCCACTGCTGCTCTTCCATCCACCAGTGTTCCTAGCTCACTCTTCCTCCACCACTAGCCCTAGTGAACCGCAGTCCTCCAGAGGAAGATTCCTTGGGGGCAGCCCCCAATTTCTGGTCTTTCTTCCCCACTTTTCCAGCTCACCTCAGTAAAGTGAAGGGCTGGGGACTTCAAAGGGCACATTGAGTTCCAGCCTGTCTCCAGAGCTTTCAGCTGTGTTTCTCCCCAAGGTCTCAGCTCCAGCATTAGAGGCAGAGCTAGAAAACTTTTGCAGGTCCAGCTCTGTGCATTCGATGGGAGTGTGGACCCAGTGGGATGGACTCTCTGAGGCGCAGGAGGACATGCAAAAAGACTCCTGAGTGGGGAAACCACGGGTCGAGCTGCGGTCGTCATCCAGGGTGGGATTAAGTAGCTGGGTCTCAAAGATGCTTTCACCCAGTGGGGACTCGGGACTGGCCTCCTGGCCAGGCGGCATGGGGAAGAGAGAGTCCTCCTCCGCTGCCTCGTCGGTTTCAAACTGCAGCGAACCTCCTGCAACTCGAAGCAGAAAGCCATTGGGTCACCCGAAGGCAGGGGTTCCTCTCAGCAGGGCACCTAGTCCTCAGTGTAAGGTAAGGAAGGGTCCGGCAGCTAGCGCTCCCCTTCCTCTCCATGAGGACTGGAGCACCTAGCACCAGACTGAGATGACACAGTTAAGAAACACACTTACGTTGGGGTATCTTATTGAAGCTACCTGGCGGTGAAGCAGGGAAAAGAATCAGTTTCTCCAGAGAAAGAAATTTCCTGTCACGGGATGCAGGATCTCGACACCCAACTCCCACGATCTTCAGCTTCTGGCATTATGCCTTTACATGTGTTATGTTATATGGCAAAAGATACTTTGCAGACGGATTAAGATTATGGACTTTAAAATAGGGAAATGACCTATGGTGGGCCCAATGTGGTCATGTGTGTCCTTAAAAGTGGAAGAGGAAGGCAGAAGAATCAGAGAGAGTATCAGAGAGATGTGTCATCAAAAGGATTCAACCCACCATTGTTAGTTTTGAAATGCAATGAGGTCATGAGCTGAAGAATATAGGTGGTCTCCAGAAACTGGGAATGGCCCTCAGGTGACAGTCAGCAAGGAATGGAACATCAGCCTTACAGAGGCAGGGAACCGAATACTTCCATCCTCCTGAATAATTAAGGGAACGGATCCTCCCTCAGAGCTTCCATAAAGAAATACAGCCCTCCCGACACCTTGATTTCACCCCTGTGAGACTCTAAGCAGAGATGTAGCTGAACCTACAAAGCTTCTGCTCTATGGAAATGGTGAGATGATAAATGGATGTTATTTTAAGCCATCACATCTGTGGGAATTTGTTATGACAGTGGTAGAATAGCAGTACGTTCTTCATGCCTAAGTCTGGCTTGACATCAAGTTACAAACTGGGAGCCTGTGGGATACGTGTTTGTTTGACCTCTACATTATGCTTGTGTGTGTGTGTGTGTGTGTGTGTGTGTGTGTGTGTGTGTGTTTAAATTACAACTCATTTCCAGGATTTAAAACTGTTTTGTATGAAAATCCAAATTTTTGGCTTCTCTTGAAAATCCAGAAGATCGTGAAACATTGACTATGTCAACAGGGTAACAAATAGCTGGAGCTGAATGGTACATTCCCCTTCGGAGAGCAGGAGAACTCTTCACTCTGCCACAGTCCCTACTCCTCTCCTGAGCCTTCTATAGGCTCCATCCTCACCTACACAAGCCCAGCATGCACATCAGCCAGTGACTCCTGATAAACACCTTCCCCGAATGAGAAAATGTCTAACCCTCGTTCCCCTGTGGAGACCCTGAGGGAGCTGCCTACGCTCATATCCCCAGGAAAGGGCACTACGTAATTACCCTGAGGACAGAGAAAAAGCATGGAAGGGCTACCTATTTTTCTTCCTCTGAGTCAAGAAAAAGGAGAGAGACAAGTGGCTCCCAGATGGTGTCTTGTCTTTCTGTGCCCTGGGCCCCAAATGCTACATTGCCCATGTTTCATGCCCAATGACTAGGCAACAGCTCTTATTTGAGAAACAGGCCTCCAAAGTCAGACATAGGATGGTCTCTCTTGGACAACAAGGTTCCGAAGAATAGAGGATAGAAAAAGAGAGTTTGACAAGGGTCGGGAAGAACAACAGTTTCCTCTTGTGTCCCCGAAGCCTATGAAATGCTGGATTCATCTCAAGTTAGGCCACGGATACAGCAAAACATATCCATTAGGCTTTCTGGAGATTGGCTGTCAGGCCCTAGAGCCAAACCAACCAAGGCGGGTCTACGTCAGAGGCATCTTCTCACACAAATCGAGACAGGTTAAAGCTGTGTTGCCTTGGGCCCAGCACCCAGTGGGCTGAGGGGGGTCCTGCACACCCCTGCATTTAGTAAACCTTATCTTCCCCATTCCTTACTACATCCACATCATTGTCTAGCCTGTGTGCCTGTTGTGGTGTCTCTGCCTAGCTTTCAGTTCCTTCAGTGACATTAAAGCTGGACTGAGCCTCGGGTACTCTTGGCTGGAGTTCTAACACCTTGCCTGGCCCTGGCTGGCCATCATCCCACCTCCCACATCTTTGTCCTCCTTGTCCTGGATATTCTGGCCCACAGTTTTGGCTGATGGCTGGAGCTGTGCTGAAAACACATCACAATGTGACTCTTGGCTTAAATATGGCCTTCTGGAATTTCCCATGGCCAGCTCCTACGGGCTGGGACAGACCTCTTTGAAAATCATTATTGTCGTGGCAAAAAAGTCCAGGTTTACCAACTCCTCTGTGGACACTGGGCTCTTGGTTACCCATATTTGGGTTATTACTGTACTAATAACAGTTACCCAAGACCTCACCTGCTTTTATTACAGTCATTTCTCAAATCCATCCAGCCTTCCTTCATTCCTGACATGTTCCAAAATCTATACCTACTAGTATAAATGAAAAATTGGAAAAGAACTTAGAAGCCCACTACTCTAACTCCATCTATCATTTTTAAGATTCTGGAGAAAGAGTTCCAAAGAAGCCAGCTGACTTAGACGTAGTTATAGAACTTAGCTCTGGAGATTCCTTTCCCAAGGGTTTTCCCATGATGTTGTGTTCCTTGAGGAACCCTTGTACCTTAGTGAACCAGGTCCCATGAACTGGCAGGGCTGGCCTCAGCTGCCTCTGAGGTCCTGTGCTTTCTATTGCCACTTGCAGAGACTGCACCCCTACAGTTTTCCAGCACCGCATGGAAGGCCTATTAACACTCACCCCCCAGACAACACCTCTCTTCTGCTAATCAGGGCCTTGTTCCCACTTCACCCTTACCGTGCTGGCAATGTCTGAAGAATTGCTTGCGGTAGAGGAAGAAGAGCCCCAGGAAGGCCAGGGTAAACACCATGAGCAGACTGCTCACCAGTATGACAAATGTGGCCTCCTGAGGCGGCACCGTGAGTACGTCTGCCTTTACTAAGCTCAGTCGGAAGGCACCTGTGAAACAAGAAAGCGGAGGCGGTCAGTCAGTGCACTAGTCCACAGTAAGCCCACCATGGGACCAGACTTCCTCAGAATGTCACTCTCTCGTAGGCCTCTCCCCAATTATGCTGGTTTTAATTCCTTGCTGAGCAGGCAAAGATATAAAGAACAAAGTGGAAAAACTGGCATATACTGCTGGTGTGGTGCCAATTAGTATAATTATTTGAAAACGCACAAATCCTATGGTCTTTCATGTCACATCTAGCTATGTAACCTAGGGAAATGGAAACAAACTAAAATATGCATGGTTAGGGCACAGGATAACAAATCACGATATAATCCTATGTTGTAATATCATTATATAGCACTTAAAATAAAAGACTTATATGGATCCATACAAATAATCTAGAGGGGAAAAGCAAACTGGTGAAAGAGAATATATAGCTTGGTGTCATTTATATAAATCATTATAAAATATAAAATAATGACATATACTGTGTATGAATATATACATATATCACAGAAGAACACAGGCATTAAAACACGGCTGGGGAGTGTGGCAGTCATACTGCTCATTGATTATTCACATGCTTCCCTGCATTTCCCATGCAACCTTGTAGTACGGCCATCACAGTACTCCTTGCCAAAGGACTATAAGGGGAATTAATGGGTGCCACTTGCAGACTGATACAGTTAAAAGCCAGTATGC